TAAAACTAGTCCTCAGACCTTTAAAACTAGTCCAATACCTTTAAAACTAGTCCTCAGACATTTAAACTAGTCCATGGGCCTTTAAACTAGTCCTCAGACCTTTACAACTAGTCCTCAGACCTTTAAACTAGTCCCAAACCTTTAAAACTAGTCCTAGACCTTTAAAACTAGTCCTAGACCTTTAAACTAGTCCTCGGACCTTTAAAACTAGTCCAATACCTTTAAAACTAGACCTCAGACCTCTTCTGCTAGTCCTCAGACCTCTGTAACTAGTCCCAGACCTTTAAAACCTGTCCGAGATGTTTAAAACTAGTCCTCAGGCCTTTAAACTAGTCCTCAGGCCTTTAAACTAGTCCTCAGACCTTTAAAACTAGTCCCAGACCTTTAAAACTAGTCCAATACCTTTAAAACTAGTCCTCAGACATTTAAAACTAGTCCTCAGACCTTTACAACTACCCCCACACCTCTAAACCAGTCCTCGGGCTTTTAAACTAGTCCATGGGCCTTTAAACTAGTCCATGGGCCTTTAAACTAGTCCTCAGACCTTTACAACTAGTCCTCAGACCTTTAAACTAGTCCCAAACCTTTAAAACTAGTCCTAGACCTTTAAAACTAGTCCTAGACCTTTAAACTAGTCCTCGGACCTTTAAAACTAGTCCAATACCTTTAAAACTAGACCTCAGACCTCTTCTGCTAGTCCTCAGACCTCTGTAACTAGTCCCAAACCTTTAAAACTAGTCCTAGACCTTTAAAACTAGACCCAGACCTCTGTAACTAGTCCTCGGACCTTTAAAACTAGTCCAATACCTTTAAAACTAGACCTCAGACCTCTGTAACTAGTCCCAGACCTTTAAAACCTGTCCGAGATGTTTAAAACTAGTCCTCAGAACTTTAAACTAGTCCTCAGGCCTTTAAACTAGTCCTCAGACCTTTAAAACTAGTCCCAGACCTTTAAAACTAGTCCAATACCTTTAAAACTAGTCCTCAGACATTTAAAACTAGTACTCAGACCTTTACAACTACCCCCACACCTCTAAACTAGTCCTCGGGCTTTTAAACTAGTCCATGGGCCTTTAAACTAGTCCAATACCTTTAAAACTAGTCCTCAGAACTTTAAACTAGTCCTCAGGCCTTTAAACTAGTCCTCAGACCTTTAAAACTAGTCCCAGACCTTTAAAACTAGTCCAATACCTTTAAAACTAGTCCTCAGACATTTAAAACTAGTCCTCAGACCTTTACAACTACCCCCACACCTCTAAACTAGTCCTCAGACATTTAAAACTAGTCCTCAGACCTTTAAAACTAGTCCAATACCTTTAAAACTAGTCCTCAGACATTTAAAACTAGTCCTCAGACCTTTAAAACTAGTCCAATACCTTTAAAACTAGTCCTCAGACATTTAAACTAGTCCATGGGCCTTTAAACTAGTCCTCAGAACTTTAAACTAGTCCTCAGGCCTTTAAACTAGTCCTCAGACCTTTAAAACTAGTCCCAAACCTTTAAAACTAGTCCAATACCTTTAAAACTAGTCCAATACCTTTAAAACTAGTCCTCAGACATTTAAAACTAGTCCTCAGACCTTTACAACTAGTCCTCAGACCTTTAAACTAGTCCCAAACATTTAAAACTAGTCCTAGACCTTTAAAACTAGTCCTAGACCTTTAAACTAGTCCTCGGACCTTTAAAACTAGTCCCAGACCTTTAAAACTAGACCTCAGACCTCTTCTGCTAGTCCTCAGACCTCTGTAACTAGTCCCAAACCTTTAAAACTAGTCCTAGACCTTTAAAACTAGACCCAGACCTCTGTAACTAGTCCTCGGACCTTTAAAACTAGTCCAATACCTTTAAAACTAGACCTCAGACCTCTGTAACTAGTCCCAGACCTTTAAAACCTGTCCGAGATGTTTAAAACTAGTCCTCAGAACTTTAAACTAGTCCTCAGGCCTTTAAACTAGTCCTCAGACCTTTAAAACTAGTCCCAGACCTTTAAAACTAGTCCAATACCTTTAAAACTAGTCCTCAGACATTTAAAACTAGTCCTCAGACCTTTACAACTACCCCCACACCTCTAAACTAGTCCCAGACCTTTACAACTAGTCCATGGGCCTTTAAACTAGTCCTCAGACCTTTACAACTAGTCCCAGACCTTTACAACTAGTCCTCAGACCTTTGAACTAGTCCTCAGACCTTTAAAACTAGTCCCAGACCTTTAAAACTAGTCCAATACCTTTAAAACTAGTCCTCAGACATTTAAAACTAGTCCTCAGACCTTTACAACTACCCCCACACCTCTAAACCAGTCCTCGGGCTTTTAAACTAGTCCATGGGCCTTTAAACTAGTCCTCAGACCTTTACAACTAGTCCTCAGACCTTTAAACTAGTCCCAAACCTTTAAAACTAGTCCTAGACCTTTAAACTAGTCCTCGGACCTTTAAAACTAGTCCAATACCTTTAAAACTAGACCTCTGACCTCTTCTGCTAGTCCTCAGACCTCTGTAACTAGTCCCAAACCTTTAAAACTAGTCCTAGACCTTTAAAACTAGACCCAGAACTCTGTAACTAGTCCTCGGACCTTTAAAACTAGTCCAATACCTTTAAAACTAGACCCAGACCTCTGTAACTAGTCCTCAGACCTTTAAAACTAGTCCCAGACCTTTAAAACTAGTCCAATACCTTTAAAACTAGACCTCAGACCTCTGTAACTAGTCCTCAGACCTTTAAAACTAGTCCTCAGACCTTTAAACTAGTCCCAAACCTTTAAAACTAGTCCTAGACCTTTAAACTAGTCCTCGGACCTTTAAAACTAGTCCAATACCTTTAAAACTAGACCTCTGACCTCTGTAACTAGTCCCAAACCTTTAAAACTAGTCCTAGACCTTTAAAACTAGACCCAGACCTCTGTAACTAGTCCTCAGACCTTTAAAACTAGTCCCAGACCTTTAAAACTAGTCCAATACCTTTAAAACTAGACCTCAGACCTCTTCTGCTCGTCCTCAGACCTCTGTAACTAGTCCTCAGACCTTTAAAACTAGTCCTCAGACCTTTAAACTAGTCCCAAACCTTTAAAACTAGTCCTAGACCTTTAAACTAGTCCTCGGACCTTTAAAACTAGTCCAATACCTTTAAAACTAGTCCTCAGACCTCTGTAACTAGTCCCAAACCTTTAAAACTAGTCCTAGACCTTTAAAACTAGACCCAGACCTCTGTAACTAGTCCTCAGACCTTTAAAACTAGTCCCAGACCTTTAAAACTAGTCCAATACCTTTAAAACTAGACCTCAGACCTCTTCTGCTCGTCCTCAGACCTCTGTAACTAGTCCCCAGGCAGACAGACAGGCAGTTGGACAGGCAGACAGGTCTTCCTAAGTGGTTTGAGGTCAACAAACCGTCAGAACAAATCTCTGCCCTCTGTGATCCATTATAGATGCCAGTATCAGAAAAACACATTATCACCCAATAGATTTGTTAACTTCTACACACACTGTCTCTGGTCCTAAAAGTGTTTTCTTGTTGTAGAGGTCTGTGGGGACATACGTGTGCTCTGTCTCGGTCTTTCTGGACCAACATGAAGTCTTTCGTGTGTGAAGAGGAGCTGAACTGAATCCACTCAGACTCATGTTCAGGCTGTAGTGTTTGTTGTAGCAGCAGCTCTTTGTCATTCAGACTTCATCCGTCACGGCGACCTCTGTGTTCACTGAGGTCTGATGCTTTTTACTCTGTGATTCTCAATCTGATTCAAAGGGTCTAAAAAGATGATCTGAACTAATGATAGCCCCACATCTGGGGTCTGAATTCTGCTTTCCAATGTCCTACAAAAGACTGGAGGGAATGATCGGTGTACTGATCCCTGATGTTGGGCACTCTACACAGTAATACAGTTGGAACAGATGGTGGTGTTGTGGGTTCTCCCACCAGAAGCACAGGATGTTTGAGTTTAATGTGTTTCCTGTTTTATTTTGAAGTGGTTCAGTTTCATTGTCTTGTTTTGCCCTCATGCGTTCCACCCGTGTCTCAGTATTTCCTCCCCTCTTGTGGATTTAAGTCTTGGTCTCCCTGTTGTTTGTTGCCAGGTCAAATCGGCAGATCAAATCACTGTGCGTCAGGAGCTCAGCCCTGTTTCTTCTTCTGGATTCATGTTGCCTTCTTTTGGACTGCCTGCCTCACTTATAAGTTCCGCCTTGTATCATTAAATTATGTGAAGCTGCGTCTGCTCTGCCCGGGTCTACATCGCTTGTTTTCCCAACCTGTTCTCATCCCAGGGTGTCACCTATGGACGCCCTTTAGCTTTGTCTTTGTACGTGTAGGGCTCAGCAGTCAACTAAGCAACAACAAAAATGCAACATCATGGTTTAGGCACCAAACCACTACTTGGTGAGGTTAGGCTGAGAGTTATGAAACTTAAGCGACATCACTAAAAGGAACCAAAGTTGACTTTTGGTCTGCTGGGTGAAAGTCCGGTTTTGGTCCCACCAGTCCATCCTTTCTCGCAGTTCCCTGTTATTTATATTAGTACCTTTAGCATTACCTATGGGGCCACAGGCTGCCATGTGTGTTGGTACTTGAAGCCAAAGTATGTGACAGGGCGTATTCTCCGCTCTGGGAATGAGACCGAGCTGCTGTCCTTGTCGTGCTGAAGCTAAACGAGTTTCTCTCAGGCAGACGGATGAAACACAGCAACATGCAGTTTGTTGATGTGCCTCCAAGTTTTGAAGCTACTGATCAAATCCATGTACTGTTCCTATTATTGTCTTTAATTGTTTTTTTTGCTTTAGTAACAGCTGCAGACCTAAAGACACATTCAGAACCAGGTTCATAAGGAGCAGGTATGAAGGTGATGAGACAATGCAAAGAGAAACATGCTCAGCTTGTTGGACACCTCACTAAATGATTCACTATGTGTTTGGTCTGTTAATCCAGCACGTTTCCTCCCTCGGCAGCCGATCAGTCAGAAGTGACAGGCTAATGAGAGTATTGATCAGAGTGTGGTGACCGGTGTCTCACCAGGACGATGATCTCGGTGCACTGACTGTAGTTTCCTCGAGGAGCCCAGCTGCCGTTAGACTGGCACTCTCTGTAAACCCGGTCTGCGAACACAGAGGGAGGATAATGATTACTGGAACATTAATGTTTAAGGTTACAGCTGATTCCTGGAGCGAGGACGCAGCTCAGAGTGAAAAACAAACATCCACACTTTCTGGTTAATGTGATGCTGTTCAATCAGCTGGTGAAGATCATGTGATGGACCTGGTGGTGAGATTGTTGTTTGAACAGTGGTGGAAGAAGACAAAAGCCCCGTTTGGATGATCATGTTTACATTAAAAATACTCCCTCTGACATGTAGTGCAGTAGAAGTATAAAGGAAACTTTCCAACACGTCCTCACAGCTGAAACCACGTACATGGTTTGGATTATGGGGGGGGTTGGGGGGGTTGACCCTCCTACTTAATGTTTGGACCCCCTGAAAGCGGCGCAGGAGTAGTTCATGGGGTCTTTCTTACCTGTCACTGTAAGTATTACAATATATTTCCCATACTCATGCCTTATATTCAAGAATCTTGAAATGCATTTTTCAGACACCCCTAAAATGGACCGTACCATTTCCAGCTGCTCCAGTCAGTCCACGCTGTAGGTCAGAAGCTATCTAGCTGCTTTAACACACTTAACTTTCCAACCTTCAGAGATTTGTAATCAGCATTTATTTGACTTTAAATGAGCCGTGTGATGTTAGCTAGCTGAGAGCCCATCCTGTCATTTCACTACCACTATATCATATATCATGTCAGCCAACACTGGTGCTCAGGCGTGAGCAGTGAAACTGAGGATCAGTTATTGATTCATCAATATAGAGTTTATTATATATCTTTCTTTCTGCAACAAGCATGATGTTTGTTTTCACTCTGGAATTCAGGAGTTTTACCTGCCCAGGTAAATGTTAAAATCCAGGTTTTTACTTCAAATGTTTTCAGTTTTATTTATACAGCACCAATTCATAACAAAAGGCATCTCATTGCACGTTTTATGAAGCAGGTCTACACAGTCTCTGTTTGGTATTATTTACAGAGAGCCAAAAATTCCCAATTCCCCAACAGTGCAGGACAACTGCTTTATTATTATTATTTCATTCCCAGTCAACATGAGCAGGAGGAAAGGAGATATGTGCTAACAAGGAGTAAGCTGCAACTTAAACTGGATCAGAATGATAAGAAGTAGGGATCAGAGATGATAATGCGGACTGTATTTTATGATAGCGTCTTTGGTTCTGGTGCAGCACTGGGTGGGTCTGTCTTGAGCCTTTGTGGGTCCTATAGTAATAGTACTAATAGTGACCTCTGACTACAGAAGTTGTCCAAATCGACTGAAATATGAATCCATCTGGTGCCATAAGCAGCTACAGCGTAACCACGGTAACGCCAGAGCTGTAATTTGGTCACTGTAACTGCCCCCCCCCCCTCCAACGCCGCCCTCCTGTTTGTGGGATGTCGGCTTCTCATCCAGCTGGCCAGGGTGGATCAATAAGTCCGGGTTTAGCTGTTCCGCTGTCTGATGAGCTGCCTGATCTACGCCTCCTCAGCACCGAGCGACAGCTAGCTCATTAGCCTGTTAGCTGAGGCAGCCAATCACAGGCCGGAGGATTTCTAGGTGTATGAAGAGGTGATGATGATGATGAGGAGGAGGAGGATGAAGGTGGAGTGAGACATGAGCTCCAGCTGGCTTACAGACACACACACACACAGATGACTCATGTTATTAAGTCAGATCAACAACTAAACCTCTAATTAAACAGGATATTTACTGCCCCCCCCCCCCCCCCCCCCCCCCACACACACACACACCACACACACACACACACACACACACACACACACACGCACACACACGCACACACGCACACACACGCACACACACACACACACACGCACACACACACAGACACACGCACACACACACACGCACACACTGTAGGACTGTAATGCCGCCAGTTGGCAGGATGTAAACAGTCAGCAGCTCCTCCTCTGCTTCTCTTCTTCTCTTCTCTTCTGTTGTTGAATGTCAGTGAGACCACAGAATGCTAAGCTGTGACTGGCTCACACTTAATTGGCATTACCTGATTGGATGACGACTGTTTGTCTTACTGTCTGACTGTCTGAATGTTTGTCTGTCTGTTTGTCTTACTGTCTGTCTGTCTGACTGTTTGTCTGTCTGTCTGAATGTTTGTTTTGTCTGTCTGTCTGACTGAATGTTTGTCTGTCTTACTGTCTGTCTGACTGTTTGTCTGTCTGTTTGTCTTACTGTCTGTCTGTCTGACTGTTTGTCTTACTGTCTGACTGTCTGAATGTTTGTCTGTCTGTTTGTCTTACTGTCTGTCTGTCTGACTGTTTGTCTGTCTGTCTGAATGTTTGTTTTGTCTGTCTGTCTGACTGAATATTTGTCTGTCTGTTTGTCTTACTGTCTGTCTGTCTGACTGTTTGTCTGTCTGTTTGTCTTACTGTCTGTCTGTCTGACTGACTCCCTGTCTGTCTGAATGTTTGTTTTGTTTGTCTGTCTGTCTGACTGACTCCCTGTCTGTCTGAATGTTTGTCTGTCTTACTGTCTGTCTGACTGTTTGTCTGACTGTTTGTTTTACTGTCTGTCTGTCTGAATGTTTGTCTGTCTTACTGTCTGTCTGACTGTTTGTCTGTCTGTTTGTCTTACTGTCTGTCTGACTGTTTGTCTGTCTGTTTGTCTTACTGTCTGTCTGTCTGAATGTTTGTCTGTCTTACTGTCTGTCTGACTGTTTGTCTGACTGTTTGTCTTACTGTCTGACTGTCTGACTGTTTGTCTGTCTTACTGTCTGTCTGACTGTTTGTCTGTCTGTTTGTCTTACTGTCTGTCTGTCTGACTGTTTGTCTGTCTGTTTGTCTTACTGTCTGTCTGTCTGACTGACTCCCTGTCTGTCTGAATGTTTGTTTTGTTTGTCTGTCTGTCTGACTGACTCCCTGTCTGTCTGAATGTTTGTCTGTCTTACTGTCTGTCTGACTGTTTGTCTGACTGTTTGTTTTACTGTCTGTCTGTCTGAATGTTTGTCTGTCTTACTGTCTGTCTGACTGTTTGTCTGTCTGTTTGTCTTACTGTCTGTCTGACTGTTTGTCTGTCTGTTTGTCTTACTGTCTGTCTGTCTGAATGTTTGTCTGTCTTACTGTCTGTCTGACTGTTTGTCTGACTGTTTGTCTTACTGTCTGACTGTCTGACTGTTTGTCTGTCTTACTGTCTGTCTGACTGTTTGTCTGTCTGTTTGTCTTACTGTCTGTCTGTCTGACTGTTTGTCTGTCTTACTGTCTGTCTGACTGTTTGTCTGACTGTTTGTCTTACTGTCTGTCTGTCTGAATGTTTGTCTGTCTTACTGTCTGTCTGACTGTTTGTCTGTCTGTTTGTCTTACTGTCTGACTGTCTGACTGTTTGTCTGTCTGTTTGTCTTACTGTCTGTCTGTCTGACTGACTCCCTGTCTGTCTGAATGTTTGTCTGTCTGTCTGTCTGACTGACTCCCTGTCTGTCTGAATGTTTGTCTGTCTTACTGTCTGTCTGACTGTTTGTCTGACTGTTTGTCTTACTGTCTGTCTGTCTGAATGTTTGTCTGTCTTACTGTCTGTCTGACTGTTTGTCTGTCTGTTTGTCTTACTGTCTGTCTGTCTGAATGTTTGTCTGTCTTACTGTCTGTCTGACTGTTTGTCTGTCTGTTTGTCTTACTGTCTGACTGTCTGACTGTTTGTCTGTCTTACTGTCTGTCTGACTGTTTGTCTGTCTGTTTGTCTTACTGTCTGTCTGTCTGAATGTTTGTCTGTCTTACTGTCTGTCTGACTGTTTGTCTGACTGTTTGTCTTACTGTCTGTCTATCTGTTTGTCTTACTGTCTGACTGTCTGACTGTCTGACTGTTTGTCTGTCTGTTTGTCTTACTGTCTGTCTGTCTGACTGACTCCCTGTCTGTCTGAATGTTTGTCTGTCTGTCTGTCTGTCTGACTGACTGACTTCCTGTCTGTCTGTTTGTTTTGTTTGTCTGTCTGTCTGACTGACTCCCTGTCTGTCTGAATGTTTGTCTGTCTTACTGTCTGTCTGACTGTTTGTCTGACTGTTTGTCTTACTGTCTGTCTGTCTGAATGTTTGTCTGTCTTACTGTCTGTCTGACTGTTTGTCTGTCTGTTTGTCTGTCTGTTTGTCTTACTGTCTGACAGTTTGTCTGTCTGTTTGTCTTACTGTCTGTCTGTCTGTCTGTCTGACTGACTCCCTGTCTGTCTGAATGTTTGTCTGTCTTACTGTCTGTCTGACTGTTTGTCTAACTGTTTGTCTTACTGTCTGTCTGTCTGAATGTTTGTCTGTCTTACTGTCTGTCTGACTGTTTGTCTGTCTGTTTGTCTTACTGTCTGTCTGTCTGACTGTTTGTCTGTCTGTTTGTCTTACTGTCTGTCTGTCTGTCTGACTGACTCCCTGTCTGTCTGAATGTTTGCCTGTCTGTCTGTCTGTCTGACTGACTGACTTCCTGTCTGTCTGTTTGTTTTGTTTGTCTGTCTGTCTGTCTGACTGACTGTCTGTCTGTTTGTTTTGTCTGTCTGTCTGTCTGACTGACTCCCTGTCTGTCTGAATGTTTGTCTGTCTTACTGTCTGTCTGACTGTTTGTCTGACTGTTTGTCTTACTGTCTGTCTGTCTGACTGTTTGTCTGTCTGTTTGTCTGAATGTTTGTCTGTTTGACTGACTCCCTGTCTGTCTGAATGTTTGTTTTGTTTGTCTTACTGTCTGACTGTTTGTCTGTCTGTCTGAATGTTTGTCTGTCTTACTGTCTGTCTGTTTGTCTGTCTGACTGTTTGTCTGTCTGTTTGTCTTACTGTCTGTCTGTCTGACTGACTCCCTGTCTGTCTGAATGTCTGTCTGTCTGTCTGACTGACTGTCTGTCTGTTTGTTTGTTTTGTCTGTCTTACTGTCTGTCTGACTGTTTGTCTGACTGTTTGTCTTACTGTCTGTCTGTCTGAATGTTTGTCTGTCTGACTGTTTGTCTGTCTGTTTGTCTTACTGTCTGACTGTTTGTCTTACTGTCTGTCTGTCTGAATGTTTG